CACTGCCTCCGCCACTGCCTCCGCCACTGCCTCCGCCACTGCCTCTGCCACTGCCTCGCCACTGCCTCAGCCACTGTCTCAGCCACTGTCTCAGCCACTGTCTCCACCACTGCCTTCACTACTGCTTCAACCACTGCCTCCACCATGGAGGGTAATGTTCACTCAAGGATAAACAAAGCCACAATGACTCACGATGCCTGCGCAGGCAGGTGTTCAGGCACGGGCAGGCGGACAGGTTTGGTACGTGGGCCGAAACATGGGGCACAGTACGAAACCTGGGACAAAATTTAGCCGAAAAAAGTGCTCGAAACTCGAAGCAGCTGAAACTAGAGGCAGCTGAAACTCGGGGTTCCACAGTATTAAGGTAATTACACAACATTTTATTAGCGCCACGGCTAGTATCCGATGCCCATGATGACTCGCCATATACTGAATGCTGCTCCTGCTGGCCTCTCCCTCTCTTCTATAGCTCCTCCCACTCTGTAACGATGTTAGATGGTGAATTTAATGTACAGTGGACCCCCAGTTTGCGTTATTAATCCGTTCCTGAGAGCTCATCGTAAACCAAAATTATCGAAAAGCGAATCAATTTTCCCCATAAGAAATAATGGAAATCAAATTATTCTGTGCAAGACACCCAAAAGTATGAAAAAAAAAAAATTTCCCACATGAAATATTAAGTTTAATGCACACAAACTGAAGAAGACATGCACAGTTTGTAGTACTCTACTAACAATAGAATACATGACACTTACCTTTAATGAAGATCTGGTGATGATTGATGGGATGGGAGGAGGGGAGAGTGTCGAAGTTGTTAATGTTTAGAAGGGGAATCCCCTACCATTAGGACTTGAGGTAGCAAGTCTTTTTCCGGGGTTACTTCCCTTCTTCTTTTAATGCCACTAGGACCAGCTTGAGTCACTGGACGTCTGTCGCACAACATATCTGTCCATAGAGGCCTGTACCTCTCGTTCCTTTATGACTTTCCTAAAGTGGTTCACAACATTGTCAATGTACAGGTTGCCAACACAGCTTGCAGTAGCTGTGTGAGGGTAATTCTCATCAAAAAAGGTTTGCACTTCAAGCCACTTTGCACACATTTCCTTAATCTTTGAAGTAGGCAACTTCTTCAATTTCTCTATCCCCTCCTCCGAAGCAGTTTCCTCAGGTCTGGCCTCTTGCTGTTGAAGATGATCTAGCAGCTCATCAGTGGTTAGTTCGTCATTGTCCTCCTCCACCAACTCTTCCACATCCTCCCCACTAACCTCCAACCCCAAGGACTTCCCCAATGCCACAATAGATTCCTCAACTGGCATAGGATTCCCAGGGTTAGCCTCAAACCCTTCAAAATCCCTTTTGTCTAGACATTCTGGCCACAGTTTTTTCCAAGCAGAGTTCAAGGTCCTCTTAGTCACTCCCTCTGAAGCCTTACCCATGAGGTTTACACAATTGAGGATATTAGAGTGATCCTTCCAAAACTCTTTTAGAGTCAATAGAGTGTCTGTGGTCACTTCAAAGCACCTTTCAAACATAGCTTTTGTGTACAGTTTCTTGAAGTTGGAAATGACCTGCTGGTCCATGGGCTGCAGGAGAGGAGTGGTATTAGGAGGCAAAAACTTGACGTTAATGAAGCTTATGTTTCCAGAAAGTCGCTCTGCCAAGTCTGTAGGATGACCAGGGGCATTGTCTAATACCAGGAGGCACTTAAGGTCTAATTTCTTTTCAATTAGGTAATTTTTCACATTGGGGCAAATGCGTGGTGTAACTAGTCATAGAAAAAGTCCCTAGTGACCCATGCCTTAGCGTTTTCTCTCCACAGCACACACAAATTAGCCTTGAGGATATTCTTTTGCCTGAACGCTCTGGGAGTTTCTGAGTGATACACCAATAAAGGCTTCACTTTGCAATCACCACTAGCATTGGCACACATCAGAAGAGTAAGCCTGTCTTTCATAGGCTTATGTCCTGGGAGTGCCTTTTCCTCCTGAGTAATGTAGGTCCTGCTTTGCAATTTCTTCCAAAACAGGCCTGTTTTGTTGCAATTAAACACTTGTTTGGGTTTCAAGTCTTCACTGTCTATGTAATCTTTGAACTCCTTCACATATTTTTCAGCTGCTTTTTGGTCCGAACTGGCAGCCTCACCATGCCTAATCACACTATGTATGCCACTACGATTCTTAAATCTTTCTAACCAACCTTTGCTGGCCTTAAATTCACTCACATCACCACTAGTTGCAGGCAATTTCTTTACCAAATCGTTATGCAACTGCCTAGCCTTTTCACAAATGATCGCTTGAGAGATGCTATCTCCTGCTATCTGTTTTTCATTTATCCACACCAATAACAGCCTCTCAACATTTTCTAACACTTGCGGTCGCTGTTTCGTAATCACAGTTGCACCTTTTGCAACAACAGCTTCCTTGATTGTCGTTTTCCTGGTCACTATAGTAGAGATGGTTGATTGGGGTTTGGTATACAACCTGGCCAGCTCCGACACACGCACTCCACTTTTGTACTTTGCAATTATCTCTTTCTTCATTTCAATAGTCATTAGCACCCTTTTTCTCGAAGGGTTGGCACTAGAAGCTTTCTTGGGGCCCATGGTGACTTATTTTGCAGAAAGAAGCACCAAAAACACTGTGATAATATGGAATGTACCGAATGTATCCTTAGATGCGAGCACACTGGCTGGCTTGTAAACACTGGCACACACGGGGCAGTTCAGGCCACACGTAGACACGTCTCGGACGAATCGCGTATACTGGGTTTTTTAACGGGACCCGAGGCAAAATTTTTGCGTTAGAATGTATTGCATACCGGATTTATCAGATACCGATGGCATTGCGAACCGGGGGTCCACTGTATTAGACAGAAAAATTAAAAAAAAAAAAATTTCATAAAAATTAATTTTTGTAAAATGACTATAATTCTTTGTAGAAACATGGTACAAAGATGATACTTATACCAAAATGTTGCCAGATTCTGAAGCTATTTTTCTGTAAGCCAAGACAGCAGTGCCTTAGTGTGCGCAACAAGGCCAACAGATTACTTGGATTTATCTCAAGAAGTATAAGTAACAGAAGTCCAAAAGTTATTTTACAGCTCTATACATCACTAGTGAGGCCTCATTTAGATTATGCTGCTCAGTTTTGGTCCCTTTACTACAGGATGGACATAGACTCATTAGAGAACATACAGAGAAGAATGACTAAAATGATTTACTGTGTAAGTAAACTCCCGTATGAAGATAGACTTAAAGCCTTAAATCTCCACTCTCTGGAGATATCATTGAAGTGTATAAGTGGATGACGGGCATAAACAAGGGAGACATTAATAAAGTACTGAGGGTGTCGAACCAGGTAAGAACCAGGAATAATGGATTTAAGTTGGATAAATTTAGATTTAGAAAGGACATAGGTAAGTACTGGTTTTCTAACAGAGTTGTAGATGCGTGGAACAGTCTTCCCAGTGGGGTGATAGAGGCTAGGACCTTGGGTAGCTTTAAGAAGAGACTGGACAAATATATGAGTGGGAGGGGCTGGGTTTGATTGGTGTCATGGGGTACGGGAGTTATTTCTTGGGTAGCTTTAGGTAGATGTCGTTTTGATAAGGACCTGCCTCGTATGGGCCAGTAGGCCTTCTTCAGTGTTCCTACATTCTTATGTTCTTATGTTCTTATTTGTATTTTACTTATTTTTTCTGTAATACATAAGAGTTATGCAAATTAATATAAAATTATCAAGTTGGAGTTTCATTTTTAATTTATTTTTTCTTTCTAATATACATATTTAATTCACCATTTGGCATTGTTACAAAGTGGACAGAGCTATAGCAGAGGGAGAAGCCAGCAGTCTCGGCTGATGATTCACAGCACTAAAAAATATTGTATAATTATACTATTACTGTCAATAAAGGTTATACCTATCATTTATTCCAGAATAATATTAGGTATGTCATAAATAACGTAGAAGCATGATAAAGACGCCCAAATTAATAAAAACTGACATTATACAGAGAGGTATTGAATGGTGGAGGGCAGGGAAGGATAAAAAAAAAAATGACCACGATCATTACAGAAAATGTTACACACTATGCACCTGAAGGGTAACTATAGAAGATCATTCTTATCTTATGCAAAGACTGAGAGTGTGATTTTCTAAAAAAAAAAAAAAAAAAAAAAAAAAATCCCAAGTAATCAGCTATGCATGCGTTTCCTGGAATATCTTGGAGGTCATTGACCTATTTCACGTTGTATTGCTATTAATAATAAACAGATTGAGAGAAATTTCACAGCAAACACGAAACTGAATGTTTTAATTGTGGGTCCCCTCAAGGGAGGTTCCTTGACGCTGGCGAGGGGCTCTTGATCTAGGGAATTGGGTCTGTGCTCCAGTTCCCTGAATTGAGCCTGAGTACCTTCCCTTTTCCCCCCCCCCCCTACATGCGCTGTACAATCCTACGGGTTTAGCGCTCCCCCATAATTATAATAATAATAATAATTAATTGTGGGTGATGACACTTTTGAAGTGTCAGTAAGGGGTGATTCCTCGAGTAGCGATGAATTCGTTTATTGACATGGTCTTAGGAACAGAACTCCATTGGTAAGTGAGGAAAAGCTGTACACAAATTACGTAAGTTTTTTGATTCTGTATGACTTATGGGTTCAGCGTTTTCCCGTGAAAAAATATTTAATAATGGAAGGGGCAATACTCTTTATAAGTACCCCTTTAGATATTAAAAGTTTATCACCTCTAGGATGGTGAAATTTTCTCTCTTCTCTCTTTCCACTTCTACTCCAGTTAATGAAATTCAAAAGGTTTGAATTGTGATATCTGCACACTTCTGGCAAGATGACTGTTGAATGAATGATGGTAAATGTGTTTCCTGTGGTTTTTGAGGAGGAAGTTATAGTAAGATATAAGGAGCTGCTGGGGGAATGAACTGTGGTAAAAAAAAAAATGGTTTAAGATCAGTGTCAGAGATGTATGTTATCTTTGCAGCAAGATGGGTCAAGGTAACAGTAACTCTCTACGGGAGAACCTGGAGTCCCTCCACAACCAGCTGATGAAGCACGCTGGGGCAGATTATGATATTGCCACCACCACTACTCTCACTTACGACCAGTTTCTCAGTTACATCACACAACTTAATCAGATGTAAGAAAGGTGCATGGTTTTATTTACAGACCTTTTTCTCTGAATATTTAAACTTTTCTTTATTTTTGTTTTTTGATAATAAAAATATCAAGAAACAAAAATAAAGTACAGGTACAGGTTTCTCTTTCCTAAGGTGGATTGAAGTGGTGCAGATTTGCTTATACAGTGGATCCTCGAATTTTGTAATTAATCCGTTCCAGAGAGTGTGACAAAAGTTGAAATTAACAAATGCCGAAACCATTTTCCCCATAAGAAATAATGTAAATCCAATTAATCCATTCCAGACACCCAAAAGTATTAACCCTTTCAGGGTTTCGGACGTACTAGTATGGCTTACGCACCAGGGTTTTTGACGTACTAGTACACCTAAATTCTAACGCCCTCAAATCTAGTGAGAGAAAACTGGTAGACCTACATATGAAAGAATGGGTCTATGTGGTCAGTGTGTGCAGTATAAAAAAATCCTGCAGCACACAGTGCGTAACGAGAAAAAAAAAACTTTGACCACGGTTTTGGATTAAAACGGCGTCTTTGCACTGTATTTTTGTATGGTATTTATTGTTGTATTCTAGATTTCCTGGTCTCATTTGATAGAATGGAAGACATATTACAGAAATTGAGATGATTTTGACTGGTTTTACAATGAAAAGTACCTTGAAATTGAGCTCAAAATAGCAGAAATGTTCGATTTTTATCTAAGTTCAGAAGTAAACAAATCATGCTAAGCATCCAATACACGTCAACTGGTGAGTCTAATATTCTTTCACAAGTGCGCTGATATTATTTATACCATTTCTACACTAATGCAGTAGTCTGCATAACAATATATCTTCTATTTTTTGTGAGAATAAAAATTCAAAGTGGAAAGCAAGAGAATGTAAGAGGGTCATGGGGACGTGACTATTGAACAGAGGAAATGTTATTTTAGTGCCAGGAATGTTTTTCTTGTTTATTCTGGACCCTATTTGGAAATTGGCATCTATTGAAATTTGTGTGAGATTGGCAAAATTGCCCAAAATTTTGACCACTATTGGATAGTTGAAATCGGTTTAAAGGGGTGGTTTCTTGTATCATTCGATAGAAAAAGTGGAGTTCTAGTGAAAATAGTTTTGATTTTTGTCAACTATACACTGGAATTGGCCGAAAATAGGGCTCAAAATGGGCAAAAATCGCCGATGCATAAACATCATCGAGACCCTAACTTCACGAGAGCATAATTTCAAGTTTCCATCAAATTTATACTTTTGGTGTCTTATATCGGGAAAAGATTCTCTAACCCTAAAAAAAGGGCCAACCCCAATCGTATTTAAAATATATCATTACATATGTTAGGAATTGTGGCAGTGGCAGAGTTTGTTTGGAGATAGGACAAGCTAGTCCTTCAATATGACACTAATATCAACTCTACGGCTTATTTATCTGTCACAATTTATCAAATATGACATAATAAATATTATTAATAACATGGAAAACATGACACATACTCTTGAATGAATAAAATACGTCATTATGTCAAGAGTGTTCCTGTGTTGTTGTTGGGTGTATAAGGGCCACTGAGAGCATAAACCTTACATAGTGGTACTGGAGGCAGCATCAGAGGTGGTAAAGACTAGAGACGGCGGTGTTGTCAGCTGCCCTATATAACTCCAACAACATTGGAGGAGTTAGGTTTGTGCTGTCCTTTTTCTGTTGATTAATCGCTTAACTTACTTGCTACACTGTTAATGCTACACTTTGTCGTTGGCTGGCACTATAAGCTTTATCAACTCTTGCTGCTTTAGTATCATACATATTGTAGAATCACTGAAGAAGGCACATTCTCCCCTCTCTTCCTCCTCCACTTTGGTACTCTGCTACGAGTTCTTTCTTGAATTCTATAGTTTTTCTCGCCTTCTTTACCAAAGGGCTGGCACTAGTACAGTATTTTACGAAGTTTTCATGTGTTTTATGATTGTTTATGGTTCAATAGGTTAAGGAAGCAGTATTGTATTATACTTCCCTACAATATATTGGGGCACCAAACATTCACGATTTTTCAACATTTGCGAGGTTCTTGATCCCCTAACCCTCGCGAATGCTGAGGGAAATTTGTATAAATTTTCTTTTAATTTATAATTTAGTTTGTGTTTTATAAATGATGTGTCAGATTCAATAAATGTATGAATTAGTTTTTGATTAATTACTTTATTAAGAAGTGTTTCTTAATATATTTTGAAATGTGTGTGTGTTACATTAGTTTTGTTTGCAGGTGTTCAGAAGAATAACTTATGAATGTACTGGTGGATCACTGGGAACCATGGATGGCATATTTGATGTTGATGCAGCAAGTAAGATAAGTTTCCCTCTTGTTTGTGTAAATTACTCTGCTTTTTTTAATACTTTTGCTGTTTCCCACTGAGGCAGGGTGACCCAAGGCATGCTGATACTACAGTTCAGAAACTACAACATATCTCCACCCCTCCTTCAGAGTGTAGGCACTTTTAAAATACCTAGCAGGAATGGTATACTTGTCACCCCTGACTCACGTGTGACAATATTTCTCTTTATCCCCCGAATTTTTTTTGTTGATGTTAAAAAAAATCTGAGGGTCAGTTTTTTTTTAAAATTTCTCAAAGTTTAGTCTCATTAAAATCATTTCCAAATTTGCTACTTTAAAATGTGTGGAGCTGTAAGATAATGCGAGGGTTTATTTGTACAAGTTAATCCCCCCAAATTTTAATCCCCTAATTTTAGTACTCAAATTTCTTTGTTTATCTGTATCTTTTTACCATTATGTTTTTTTGATTTTGAAGATCGTCTCATCTCATGCACACCTTTTGGCCCCTTTAAACCCACTTGTTTTTCTAACCCAAAAACCCCACCATTTGTAACAGGTTAATGGGGGGACATTTGACAAGGTAAATTACTGATTCATCAAAACAACTTTTTAGTATACGAAATTTAAAAAGGTTTACACGGGGTTTGGGGTTTCCCAAACCCCATGAGAAATAAGGGTTTTTTAAATTGAGACATATAGATTTAGCAAGGTGTAGGAAAATACGGTTTTTTTAAAACCTGAGTTGCTGAGTGGAAAAATCCCCCAAGTGGGTTCAAAAAAAAAATTTAGTTTCCCTTGGGACTTTAAAGAGAGATTAGATATGTATTTTTAAGGGGGAAAAGGTTTTTTTTAATTATTTACCAAAGGACTGAAAAAATTCTTGGGTGGTTTTGGGGAATTGAAAGGGACCGGCCTAGAAAGGGTCAGTGGGTCTGATGTGGGTTTTTTCCCTAAATTCTTATTTTTTAAAGGGAATTTTATTCCCAAAGTCCCCCAATTTAATTATGGAAGAGGTAAATTGAAGCCCTTTTTTAACCCTTTCAGTGTCTTTTATGTACCCCCTATTTAATTGGACCATAAAATTGGGGCAGGGGAAAGGCCAAGTAGGCCCCTTTCTTTAAAAAGGAAACGGGTCTGTGTGGTTAAATTGGCACAAAAATACAAAAAAATTTAAGTTACGGGCATTTGCTTTAGGGGAAGGGCCATACTTAGAAACCCCTTTGCTTCCCATACGGGCTTTTGACAAAAAAGTCTCACCCCCCAGTGAAGCTCCAACAAAAAAGGAAATTTAGGGAAACCCAAAGGGGCGAGTTCTATAGTTTTGAAATTTAGTGCAGAAAAGGTGATGCAAAAGGCTGCAGAAATGGTGCTAAAAACCCCTGTTTACACTGTTCGGCTGGGCCCGGGAAACCCCCTGATACTGTTGTCACATTTTTTAAATTTTTTCAGTTTTTTCCCAAAAAAATTTTTGCAAAGTGCCAAATCAATTTTTCCATTGGCAAAAAAAATTATGTATGAAATTCACAATAAAAATGTGAAGGAAAGTGCATGTCCTTTTTGTTTTTTCATGCGAGGTTAAAAAATAGTTTATTCAAAGTAATGTTTCATTAAAGAAATTTATTTTTTTTTCCCGGGAAATTTTTTCGGGGTTTTTTACCTAGGGAATAAGTTCATTTACTAATGAACATTAATTTATAAAAACATACTTGTATATTTCCCAAAGTATGTAATTTCATTTTTATTTTTGTGTAATGGAGTGAACTTAGAAAGAATATTCTTTTTAATTGAAATTTTTTTTTTATATAATTCATTTACCCCCCAAAAGAGAAATAGAGAAGAACCTTTCCCCCCATAAACCATTGGGGGTCATAATTTTATTTTTATTATCACACGGGCCCGATTCCCCCCAAAGGAAAGGGGGATGGCCCGGGAAAAAGAAAAACCCCCCCTTTCAACATCATTCCCCACTCCATCCCCTGGCCCTTGCCCAAAAAAAGGGGTGCCTTTTTACCCCCTAAAAAAGTTTTTAAACCCCCCCTGCAAAAATTTTTAACCCCCCCCCCACCCCCCTTTCCCCCTTCCCCCCCCCAAAGGGAATCAGGCACTGTTTTCCCTTCCCATCCTCAAGCCCGGGCCCCTCCCCCTTTCCCCGCCCCTTCTAAAAAATTTTTTGGGGTTCCCCCCTTTGCTAATTTCCAACGGGCCCGAATTTTCCCCATTTTTCCCCAAAACCCACATCCCTTCAAACAGGCTCCCATCCCCCCCCAAGCCAACCCCCTGCAACAACCCCTTTTTACCCCCTCCCCCCAAACCCTTTTTAAAGGGGGGAAAAACCCGTTTCCTTCATAAAATTCCCCTCTTTGGGGAAAAATTCTTTTCCCCCAAAACTCCTAAGGTCCAACCCCCTTAAACCCTTTTCCCCTCAAAAAATTTTGGGATCCCGCCCTTTTTCCTAACCCATCCCGTTTTTGAAAATTTTCCCACCCCAAAAATTTCCCCCTGAATACTTCCCTCCTCCACCTTTTTTCCCTCCTTAAAATTTTCCCAAAACCCATTTCACCCCCTATCTTTTTTTTATCCTAAAACCTTACCCCCTTTTCCTAAAAAAAGTTTTTTCTACTTTTTGCCCCCCTACCTTTTCCCCCACCAATTTTGAAAACCTTTCTTTTCAGAAATCCCAAAGACACTTTCATCCCAAAAAAAGCACCTTAAACTCCCCCCTTTGTTTAATTCTTTACCCTTTTTTTACCTTTAAACCCTTTTTTTCCAAACCTTTTTTTTCTCTTTTTAAAAACCCCCTTGAAAATTCTTAAAAATATTCAACCCTTGGAACTCCAAACCTTGTCTAAAAGGCCTTCCCTTTTATTTTGGGGTTTTCCCCTTTTATCTTTTTCCTACGTTTTAAAAACCCCGGGCCCTTTATTTCCCTCTTAAAACCCCATTCTTTAAAAATATTAAAAAACCATAACATTCAACACCCTTGCCAACCCCCCTTTTTTCCCCCGGGGAAAAATTTCCCTTTTCCAAATCCAAAAATTGGCCCACCCCAAAAAAACCTTTTTACCCCTTTCAAAAATCCCTTTCCTTTAAATTTTCATTTGGAAACACGGGCCAAAACCCCCCTATTCCAAAACCCCTTGTTATTTTTTAAAATCCATTCCAAAAAAATCTTTACCCCTTAAAAAGGGGGGGGGGGGGGGGGGGGGGGGAAAAAAGGGGGTTTTTTAAAAAAAAAAAAGGGGGAAAAAAAAAAAAATTCTTTAAATTTTATAACTCAAACCATACATTTTAAAACCAGGTATACTCAACAGATTTTCTCCCCCTAAAATTTTTTGCACTCCTTTTTTTCCCCTTTGCTTTTATAAAAAAGGAACTATTCTGCTCTCGGGGCCCAAATTTCCCTAGGTACCTTCCCCTCTTAAATACATTTATTAAATAATTCCCAACCAACCACCCCAAAACTAAAACCCCCACCTGTTTTTAAACATTTTTATCTTTTCCCCAAATAATTTCCCGGCTCCCTTTAAACCCCCCCTTTCTTTTTAAACCTATTTCCCCTTTCACAAACTTCCTCCACACCACAACTGGCTTTTTCCTCACTCCTAAAAAGATTTTTTATTCCCCCTTTTCCCCTATACACAAAAATAAACCAGTTTCCCCAAATCTTCATCAAAAATTTAACAATTCCTCAAAAAAATTCCCTCCATTTTCCCAAAACCCTTAACTCTCCATTTAATAACTTTCCTCTCCTATTTTTAACGGGACAAATCCATTTTTTTTAACTTTTTTAATCTCCCTCCAAAACTTTTTCTTTTTTTTCAAAAAAAATTTGTTGAAAACCATCTCACCCACTTTCCATTTGCTCTTTTTTTTTAAAAATTGCTTCACCACCCCTTTTAAACCCCTCTCCTTTTTTCTCCAAAAAACTTTTTCCCCCCTTGCATCACTTCTAAATTTTTAAAAAATTCTCATATGCTAACTTTTTTTTCCCTTACTACTCTCTTTAATCCCCTCATTCCACCAATTGCTTTCCCCTTCCCTCCTGCACCCACTTTTTCCCGTAACCCCAAACTTCTGCTGAAAAAAATCTAACCCTACAAATTTTTAAAAAATACCCCATCCTCTTCGCCCCCCTTGGGCCCATCCTTTATTAGCCCATTTTATCCCCAAAAAGCTGTTTTTTTATTTACCCTAAAATGCCTCCTCTTTTAGTTTAAAAAACTTCCCTCTCTCTTCCCTGATGCTTCTAAATTTTCCTTGGATCCCATCTAAACCCTTTTTCTCTCAGTGTGCTACATAAAAAGGCAATGAAAATGCTAGGGCAAGGGGGTAGTAACCCCTCTGTAAAAAATTACTAAATGTTTAAAAAAAAGGAAAAAATTCATTTAAAACCCCGCCTTGGTGGGATATGGTCCCGTGTGTTTTTAAAAAAAACATTATTACTAAATTTATTCCCGTATTTATTGTGGCCTGTTTTCCCCTTTTTATGGTGAATTAAAGTTCCCCCTTATTTCTAAAAGATGGAAAAAGTGAGGGGGCGAAGCCCGTAATGTTTTCCGGGCCCACCAACCAGGCAGCATCATTGGGGTTGGGGGAAAAATGCAGGAAGTTTCAGCACCATCGGGGTAGCCACCTTTCATCAGGAGGGCTAGGGGAGCCCGTGCTGCCTCAGGGGCGTGTGGGAAAATAGTCTGGAGGGTGCGTTTATCTGTTAGAGCGGCGACCAGAAAGTCATCCTGCCTGTGCCCACGCCCTTTCTGCCTTTCCCCGCATAAAAAAAATGGTGGGAATACACTGGACCCTCCCTCCAAAGAATGTACTTCCCCCAATGTTTGTTTTATTTTAATGTAAACAAGGAATTTATTGCTTGGCTTTTTATCCTAATCTTTAAAAGGGGGTGTTTTCAGATGGCTCAAAGGGGCAGTCTTTAAATTTTTCTTCACATCTGAGGGGAAGGTTTCAGTTTTAAATTCTGCAGAAACCTGAGGAAACAGTGGGGTTTTATTATTGAATTAAATTTGAAAATAGAAAACATATTTTTTTTATCTAACTTTACATTAAGCACAGGA